GTGAGGCTGAAAGTGGCTAAATACTACCTGCGTCTGGCCAGGATTGGTCCTGGGGACTGGGAGTAGTGAGGACCCAGAGATCTGCCCCAGTGGTGAATTATGAGGTGTCAAAAGATGGGAGGCCCAATTACTAAATGCTTCAGGGGAAAAAGAAGAACAATGTTCAGTGGGAGCTCAGGTAGGGGAGGGTACTTCAGACTGGTATGAATGTGGGAAGCCTTCATGGAGGAGGTGGCATTTGCCAGTCTTTGATGGATGAGGAAGAAAACAGAATACACAAATGTATGGAAGCAGGGATGATCACAACCTTATGATTATAATGTACTAGGGAAAAATAATTTTTTCCTGATGTACTGTGAGCCTCATCAAGCCACCAACTGTCAATGTGGAAAGAAAGTAGTAAGCCTGGTTTGTGACCTTCTGCCATTTGACCCCATAGTTGGTGTGGTTTCCTTCTCCTATTCTGAAGTAATATAGATTAATTTTAGAAAATAATGTTGAGTTAAACAAAAGAAAAAAACACAAATTAAATATAATGTCAATGCACATGGGTCAGCCCTATTAAAATTTCCATATAATTTCTTACAGTCAATCATATACTATTTTTTTTCAAAAATGCAATTGTAGTATTCATTTTCATTCATTCAACAGGTACTCACTCGTGATGTCCCTCTACCAGGACACAATGGGGAACAAGATAGGTAGGGGCCCAGCCCTCTTTACAGTGTGGTGAGAACAAAATTGCTTAGTATATGTGCTACTGAAGCAATGATCTGTAAACAGATCGTTACAATGCAGTGTGAGCGGTTCTGTGTTCGAAGTACAGGGTGCTGGAGGTAGAAGCCATGCCTTGTGCAGATCTGTTGGGTCATGGAAAGCTTCTCAGAGAAAGTGACAGCAAAGAAAGACTTCAAGGAGAAGAAGAGATTAGCTTCAGCCACAAGAAGTTTATTGGTGCCTTTAATACAGATCTTTTTGTTTTGTTTTTGAGTGACTGAGATTAAGACAAGACAGCAGGTTGAGGAGAAGGCAGAGGCTGGCGGAACGTGATGATTCTTTCATGAAGACTGAGGTAAAACAGAGAGAGACGGGGCTGGACAGGGATATAGGTTGAAAGGAGTTTAGTTTTGTTTTGAAAATTAGATTGTTCAGTATTTTAAGTGCTGATGGGAAGAAGCCAATAAAGAGAGAGTGGTTGAAAACATACATAGACAATAAATAGAAAAATCAGTGAAGGACCCCTTTGCCCTTAAGCAAAGACAAGAGGAAGAGGACCAGAGCACAAGGGGTGGGACTAAGCGCGGCAAAGGAAGAAGGAAAAATAAGCAAGATAGACTGTAGGACCCTATGATTATGGAATTGTTTAAGGGCAGTGTCAGTCTTGGAGAGCCCTGTCTAATTTAGTTCGCTTCTTTGTAGCTTGAGAAAGACATTGTATTAAATAATTCCAACCCCGCCAATTATTTCTAACAACTATAGCATGGGGGACCCAATGCTAAATTCTCCTGGAACTCTTTGGAATTACAAGTTGAACTACTGACGGTCTCTTTTCGATTCCTCCTGTCCACCTCCCCCCGCCCACCCCCACCAAGCTAACTGTGCTTTCACCACAGGAAACTTCTGAAGATGGGATGACCCGGGTCTACAAGTCATTAGTGACGAATGTCTGCAAAGAAATGTCATGTTACAGTGACTTCCCCTTCCAAGAAGATTATCCCAATTTCATGAAACAAGAAAAATTTTGGGGATACCTCCAAGAATTTGCTGAGCACTTTGACCTTCTGAAATACATTCAGTTTCGGGTAAGACGCCTTGGGTCATTGTGGAAGGTGGCTGAAGGCCAGCCCCCATTCAGCAGTCTCATGGAAATGGGATGCTTAAGTAAACTTCTTTCTGGTTTTCTCTCTACATGAATAAGGCTGATAGTAACCCTGCTGCTCGTGTTTTACTCAGATAGATCATTAAAATACTGAATTTCCCAATTCCTTCTCTAAATCCAAACCCTCATTCAGGACGAAATTTAAACCATTTTTTTGAAAGGAAAGGAAAAATGAATTTTGTTCATGAAACCCTTTGGGAAGAAATGACCAGAAGCCTGAGCCACAGAAATTATAATTAAAAACTCATTTTCTTGAACATTTTCAATGCATTCAATATTTTAAATCATCTCCTGCTCACCAATAAAACCTGAATATTTCTTCCTTACAAAGGAAGGCATTCAGATGTTTGGGATCCTAATCTACATGACCCCTTCTGAGACTTTGCACAAGTTCCTTAACTTCTCCAGGTAGAAGATAAAACCAGTATTGATAGACCTCCTATCATGGGGCTGACTTGGCCCACTTCACATAATGAACATGGGTACCCTACAGTCACTGCATGAGGTCCTAAGATGATTAACAGAAAGCAAGTGTTTGTCTTCTGCTTTCAGACCACAGTGTGCAGTGTGACAAAGCGTCCTGACTTCTCGGAAACTGGTCAGTGGGATGTTGTCACAGAGAAAGAAGGGCAGCAGGACAGAGCTGTCTTTGATGCTGTCATGGTCTGCACTGGACACTTCGTGAATCCCCATTTACCTTTGGAGTCATTTCCTGGTGAGTCATTTCTACCCTAGACCATGCCTGCTCTTCTGGGCTCTTCTAGAAGTTATGGATTCGTAGTTGGAAATATTTCCTAGTGATTATAAACGACTTGTGTTCACCCTTCGAAATAATATGTACAAAATAACTTTGAAAGATATCGAGCATGATATAGGTGTCATTACTTATTAATATAAACGCTGGTGTTATCATTTAAGCTTTATCATCCCTGTCTGATGTAAGTTCAGTGATCACATAAGGCTCAAAACTATCAGATCTGTCATGAAAAAGAACAGGTTTTAAATTTTGTCATTAAATTACAGGTCATTTGAATCAGGAGTGACCTGTAATTCAGTAACTGAAAGGAAGTGAGAGCATAAGGAAACTTGACAGATTTTTGTTTTTAGTGTTTGTGCTGCCGGAGCGAGCACAACATATTTTTTTCAAAGAAATAGACCAGAAATTATACATACAAAGGAATATCGCTATCCTTCAAAATAGTCGTCACAATAACCACCCATACACCTCTTAAGTCAGGGCTATCAACACAAAGGAGTTTTAGAAATCCCCCTTTGGAAATCTTTCAAGCCAACAGAACATTCTTTTTAATATACTCACAACTGACAACTCTCCATCTTTTGAGGACAAATGAGGATTACTAAAATGTAATGAAGCAACTCTTCTGTTAAGTATAAGTGACCCTAAAGGCAACTGAGTATGAAATTTTGAAACTTCTTTAAGGACCTAAAACAACTTTTTAGAAAGGAATATGTGGAGATGAATGCTTGCAAACCTTAGCCAATTTTTTAAAAAATGAAATCTAAATCTTACAAACATAATATCAAATTAACAAAATATCCTATTTTTAAAACTGTCTTAGGGATGGAGGGCAAATTCAAAGTATACTTTTGCAAAAAAGCAATACTGTAAATGATGGTTCATCTTCGGGCTTGCCGCTAGTCTGGGGACTAAATGCACAAATGGCACAGTGCTAAAGGAATATGTAACCGCCTCTTCTAACAGTGTTTCTGTGGGGAAATGTGTTGTGCCAAACAAGTGATAATTTGGGAAATTAGTGTCTTGTCAGCCTTGTGGTGGCTCATCCTTTACTCCTAACTAACCACCTTCAGTTCCTCTCAGACTGTAACTAAAGAATACTGTTGCAAAAGACCAACAAGAGCCAAGAGGTGAGGATCTCTGTGGCAGCGTAGTGTCCAAACTGGCAGAGCTGGTCCCAGAGAAAGAGACTGACTAACTACAAGCTGAAATAGCAAGGTAGTTGGATCATTGTGAGAGCAGACATTTTTACAAACTTTAATGGCCTGGTGAGGCTGGAGAGGGATGATTGCAATAGAAATATTGAGATACCCATCTCTTTTGCCCTAAAACCCAGATATTGGAGAAGGAAGAAACCCACACACACAGATTTCAGAGACTCCTCCTGAGGGGTTCTTGGTTCATGATCACACTTTAGAAGGATTGTTACGGGGGGGAGCAGTACAGACAATCCCAGTTCCCTCTGTGTTTCCCGAGTAGGTGAATGGATATGGTGTAAGCTTTCCAGACAGTCCTAGTCTGCCACAGTTCCCTCCTGGATAAGTAGCATTTAGCATGATGGTTACGAACAAAGTTCTGGATCCAGACCCTGGGACTAGTTGCATAATCTTGGATAAACATAACCTCTGTAAGCCTCAGCAGGGTGGAAATAGGAGTTCCCATCTCAGAGCAGTGACCATGTGAGATCAGCCATGTGAGATACTTAGCACAGTGCAGAGCAGAGGTAAGTGCTCTGTGAGCAGCAGCTACTACTGCTGTGAATCACAACCTTCTGTAAGCTGTTATCTGCCACCTGCGAATTGTTGAGAAGAACCTGCTTCCTAAGAAGCATGCGACTCCCCCAGACTAAGAAGTATTTATCCCTCTTAGTTAAGTTAAAACCCTGGCCTCAGCAGCCATTCCGCCTAGGAGTGCCAGACCCTTCCAGAGCCCACACGGGAATCACGGGATGGGTAACACAAAGTCCAGTTCTGCAGGTCACCCCTCTTCCTTCTTCTCTCTCTCGCTCCCAAGTTGTATAAGAGTGACTCTCTGCACACACATTGCTTGTAATCATTAGTTACAGGTTAGTGATCATGAATGCCTAATTTGATCAGTTATTAACAAGTGTCTTTAACCTTCTGAGCATTGTACACGACTTTAAGCCCGGTCTTCCTCCTCCTAAGGCAGCTGCTAAGCATCTTCCAACACATATTAGGATAATAAATATAAGATGAATAAACCAAAGTACCCCAGAGATACTTGGTGACAAGGCAAACTGAGCCCTATGCTGCCAGCAGAAATTTTTTACCCTTGAATTAGTCATTTTGATTTATCAAATAGATTCTCTTTTGGGGGGCGGGTAGTAGAGGGTACTGTATTACTGACATAATCGTTAGTTCAGACCTACCTACGCATTCTGTACTTTTTCTTGGGTCCCCTGCTCAAATAAGCAATTACGGAGAACCTATTATTTGAAAAGCCCCATGTTAGGGAACATGAAAGATACAAAATCTATGAATCAAGCTTGAGCCCTCAGGGAGCTTCTCTCCAGTCAAACCTCAGAAAATGTCTTGAAGCCGCACTCTCTAATGCATTCAGGGCACGAGCTCCTCCCCCTTCTTGAAATTCTTTCAATGCTCCCCTTTTCAAATTCCTAATCATCCTTCAACTGTTGTTTTTTTAAAAAAAAAAAAATCACCTCCTCCAGGATGCCTCCCCTGGCTCAGTCTAGGCTGATGCCCTATTGAGCCATCTTAACACTTCCTGTTCTGGGAGGCAGGATAGTGTCATGCTTGGGAGCTGAGCTCCAGAGACAGACCCTGACTTCCTGTCCAGGCTCTGCCTCTCACTGTATGGCCTTGGGCAAGTCGCTTAACCTCTCTGTGCCTCACTCTTGGCATTAGTAAAATTGAATCATAATATTGTCCACCCTAAGGGGCTACTGTGTGGTTTTAATTAATTAATATGTACAAAGCCCTTAGTAGAGTGTCTGGGACTTGCTAGTGGGGGCTGAATAAACGTTTGTTAGCTATTGAATGTTTAACTAGTTCTCACTGGAGAATGAACTCCTTGAGGACAGAGAGTGTCTTTTACCCTCACATCTCCCAAACCTAAAACCTGAAACAGCATTTGGAGTGCACAGGGTTGAAAGTACATGTAAGGTACAATTATTAACCAACTTTATTTTCTTGTAATGTCCCTGTAGACCTGATCGGTGGGGCTTGTCCTCCTGGCCCTGGTTGCAATCTCAGGCAGTTCCCACCACTTTTCTGCTCACTCTAAGATAATGGAAAGCCCTCTCATCACTTTAAGTCACCAAAAACTTCTCATCTTTATAACCAAAATGTTCCATCTCATGTAATAGTAAAAATTTGCAACTACCTGTAACAGTGAAGCTTCTCTCCTCCCTCAGCTGGCGCCTGCGTCGTGCTGACAGCTGCAGTGGGAAGAGATGGTGTGCGTGGCTGCTCCCTTCCTCTGCCAGTTCCTCCTCCCGCAGACCCTTTGCCCGGAGCTGCAGTCTCTGACCTTCCAGAACTGGAGTCAGGGGAAGGACAAGAAGTAAAGGGGCAGAAAAGGTCTTTCTTGACTGGCACCTGTCGAGAGCTGGCTCTCTCAGGACTTGGGAGTGTTTAAGACCCATGCTTTGTGGGTGCTTTCCTAGGCTCTGCTCCAGAGACCCGCTCCATTACTGGGGATCTCTCAGTGCTGCCCCTTGTTACAGACCACACCCTTTCGGGCTGGCCGCTTACAAATCCTTAAACCCTAGCTCCTCCCTAGGTCATCTCCGTGCAGATCATCTGTTAAGGTCTCACTGTCAGTGCAGATGGCTACCTTGTGCAAAGTTCCTTTAAATTGGCATCAGACAGCCTCCCTCTTACACAGTCCTCATGAAATATGTATTCCACAGTCAACAGCAGTCAAAAAACTTGCTATGGGTACAGCCACCATCCCTAGCAGCCAGTTCCAGTCAGTCTTTCAAGCGTGGGTCACACACCCATCTCTGTGCTCTTTAGATTCCAAGGGTCAAGGTCTCTCAAGAGTCTCCTGGAAGTCCCTTGAATCTGGCTCCATGTCAGAGGGACAGAAAATACAACAGCACTTTAAATCCTTTGTTGAAAATCTCCAGTGTCCAACCTCTGGTCACTTCAGCTTAAACCCCTGAAAGTGAGTAAGGGTCTAAGGATCACAAAACTGGTCTGCAGACACTTTCCTTGCACGTTCTGCCTAGGTGGTTAATGAGCACCTCCTTGGGAATGTGGCAGCTATTATATTTCGTTTCTAGCTCTGGGGGCCTCAGTTACTGTACGGTAGGAACATGGTAGGTTCCAGGAGCCAGTTTCCTTTTTTTACACTAAAATTGCAAACGTGTTTGAAGTATTGGGATGAGAGGCTGTGGGGTCCTCTAACGTGCAGAGCTTCCCTTTCTGATTCTTTGTCAGCGCTTCATCTCACAGTGGACGGGTCTGACGGTCGCCGGCCCCATCGCCGTTGCTTCCTCTGCCACGTCGCGTAATTTCATAGCAGCAGCGGTAACAGACCCTTTCCAGTCAGTCCTCAGCAAGGGTCCCTCTGGCTGGAGTCATTCAAGCCAACAGACAGAGTTCGGCTCAGAAGCAAAGGAAAGCTTTATTCGTTGATCCAAAAGTGGAGAGGTGTGAGCTCTCGGCTCTAGAGAATCCGCTCTCCCAGAGAGGCCACGGGCGGGGCTGCTTTACCGGGATCTCGTCGGACGGACGGAGTTCGGGGAGGGAGGGGTGTTCTCGCGGGGCCGGGCGCAGGCGCACTGCTCCAGCTCCAGGTCGCCGGGCGCAGCGTCTCTGCACACGGCCCGCTGCCGCCATCCTGAATCGCGGTGTTGTGCGCCCGTGCTTCTGCACGTGGGGCCGGAGCTGGGAACTCAGGTCTGAAGGACCGGGGACGAGGCCTCTGCAAGCAGCATCCTGTGAGCAAGTGAAGCCAGACTGCGCATGAAA